ACGGCTGAATTGTCCCTCTCCACTCCCCTCCGCTCTTCGAGACTCGACGGCAAGGGAGGCATCAACAACCAGCGATTCCTCGCGTCGAGTTCGGACTGCAGCTTGCCCTCTGCTTCGACCTCGCTCGGCGGGCGCAATGCTTTCAGATGCGAGAACGCAGTCCCGAAAAAGCCTCTGAGCTCGGCGACCTCGTGTGCCGAGATGTTGTGCATCTGCAGGTGAACGCTGTTGATCATGGGGACACCGGACAGGATCTTGCTCTGGCGAGCTTCGCGGATGTCCTTGAGGAGCGCGCGGACGCGGTTGGAGCTGGGCACGTCGTCCGGGGCGCCGGTAAGCAGCGCGTGCGAAACGCCGATCCAGTAGTGCGGCAGCGCCGAGAAGCCGGCCTGGGTGGTCTCGTGCTTGAGCGTCTCGGTGAGCGCGTCGACGGTGAGCCAGGTGGGCGCGACGACGATGGCCTTTTTGCGCTTTTTGAGGTGCAGCGCTACCCACAGGGGCACGGTGGCAGGCGTGGGCGGGCGGAACGGCCCGTAGATGCCCGAGAGCAGCCGGACGCGGTCGATGGATGTGAGTGGGACAATGGTGATCGAGGTCGAGGAGAGCGAGGTCGTGGCGAGGTCGAGGTCGAGCGCGCTGCAGCCGCGGGTGTAGGATGAGACCGAGGACGAGGTGGAGGCGACGCTGCCCGGAAGGGAGGAGGAGGAGGACGCGATCGAGGTGGACATGCTGACGGAGATTAGGGTGTGAGCATGCGTGATTGTAGAGCGAGAAGTGTGATGTAGAAGGTGTCGGAGAGAGTGCGAGTGAGTGTTGGTCTTTTTTTCATAGGAGACGCGCGCGCGACCACTCAACGCGAATTCCACTTTGTTTCCTCCACCAAAGTCACTTAGCCATCACCGCTCAGACGCTGCTCGAAAGCTTGAACCGCAGCGATGCCGAACGTTGCTCTATGCTGCCGTGTCTGACCACGAGAGCTTTTGCAGCTCAACCAGCCGCAGTGCCAGTGATGCAACGGCAAAGCCGACCGAAGCTACAAAGTTCGTCAGGCCGGCACTGCGCTTCCGTCAGCAGCGGGAAAAACGGGCTGTGGCGCCGAAACGAAAGCTGGAGCGGGTTCAGGGTCCAGTCTGGGAGGAGTGCGTGCCGCGCCAAGCGAGATTGACAGATTCGCAAACAAGATGAAGTTGGTGGCGCCTATCCTCCCACTTTCTGTTCACCTGCTTCATCAACAACCTATCGGCGCTCCCGTCTCATCAGCCTTGGTCAAGCTGGAAGCTCGGATTGAGCTCCATTGCTCTTTGCAGTCATCCCTCGCAGCTCCCTTCAAGAGACGGCCACAGTTCGATCCTGCCTCAAGCTCAGACTTGCTCGCAAAACCCTCCACGATGCCGGCCTCACATCCACACCAAGCGAGATATGCTCCATTGCGGCGAGATGCCGACTCGACCACCATCCTAAACAGCTCCTCACACACATCGCAACTCCACTCAACATACCTTCGCGCTCGTTCGTACATGGACAAAACATGGCAAGCCTTCCTAGCACTACGACCCGAACAGCGCTACATCATCTACCTCGCCGTGGGCGTCAAAGCGCTCATCTTTGGTCTCGTCGTCTACATCGGACCGGAAGCGATGTTCAACGCCACCGCCAAGTTGGCCATCTGGTTCGGATCGCAGCCGTTCGGCGCAGTGCTGCTCATCGCCTGCGTGGTGCTGGTCAGCTTCCCGCCGCTCATTGGCTACGGTACGAGCATCACGCTCTTCGGTCTCGGGTGGGGAGTGCACGCAGATGCGACGTCTGAGCATGCCGAGCTGCGCGGCAACCTGCTGCAGGCGTGGCTGCTTGCTTCGTTTGCGTGTCTGCTGGGTGCAATAGTGTCGTTTGGCGTGCTGCGCTTCCTGATCGTCCACCACTCGAAACGCGTCTCGTGGATCAGCAGCACGCTCAACGACCCCAAGTACGTCGCCCTCTCCACCGCCGTGCGTCGGCGCGGCCTCAGCATGACCATCCTCATCCGCTTCTGTCCCTTCCCCTTCGCCTACTCGAATCTCTTCTTCGCCAGCCTCGTGGATGCCGTCTCGTTCAGGCACTTTCTTACCGCCACCGCGCTCATCACGCCCAAGCTGTTCCTGCACGTCTGGCTCGGCACGAGGATGTTCCAGCTCATGGACCGCGATCAGCGCGCACAGCTCGACGGCTGGGCCAAGGCGTTGAATGTCGTGTATATCTTGGTGGGCTCCGCGGTGGGCGTGGCGACGGGCTGGATCGTCTGGAAGGAGACGAGCAAGGTGTTGGATGCGATTGAGAGGGAGGGGATGCGCGATTCGGACGCTCGCCCGAGCGGTAGTGGGAATGGGGGGAGGCGCAACACGGCCGACTCGTATCGCGACGACGCACGCAAGCGCAGCACAGACACTGCTTCGGCTTCGCCGTTCATCCTGGACCTCGACGGAGAAGCCGATGAGGAGCCAGACCAGCTCGGTGTGGGCGCCAGTCACACACGCAAAGACGATTCCTCGAAAAGCCTTCTCCCTCGCTAAAGTCACACTCTTTTTGTAGCAAAGAAACGGCGCATCTATAGATTGCATTCACTCAACCTCGTCTGACGGAAGCGCATGATACCTCTCTCCACCACCGCCGCCACCTGAAGACAGCGCATGATCCACATCGCTCAGACTCAACCCGCTCATCTCGGGCAACTGCGCATACGTGAATGCGCAGCACACCGCCGCCATCGCGCTAAACAGCCCAAAGCACCCCGCCGGGTGGATGAGCTTCACCAGGTGCAGGAACGTCGACGAGACCAGCAGGTTGGTCGTCCAGTTGGTCGCCGTCGCTATGCCCGCGCCTAGGCCGCGCACTTGGCCGGAGAAGATTTCGGACTGCACGAGCCAGGGGACGATGCCCAGCCCAAGCGCGTAGCTCAGCGTGAACAGGATCATGAACGCCAGCGTCGCGTATGGCCACGACGACGCAGCTGCAGCGGTGGCAGCGGGCTCGGGGCTACCGCTGACAGGGCCCACGTCGATCTGGCTGAACCCGGCCGCGACAAGCGCCAGAAACACCGCCATCCCCGCCGTCGTGTACAGCATCAACTTGCGCCTCCCCCAGCTATCGATGTACCGCACCGCCACCACCGTCCCCGCGAAATTCGCCATCGCAATCCCCACCGCCGCCGCATTCGGATTCACCACAAACCCGGCCATCAGCAGCAGCCGTGACGAGTAGTAGATGAGCGAATTCGCCCCCGTCGCCTGCTGGAAGAACTGCAGCGCACACGCAATCAGCAGCGCCCGCCGATGCGCGGGGTCGTGCAGCAGCATGTTGAGCTTGCTCTTGACGTGCGTGGTCGTTTGGCGCGCCGTGGACGTGAGCTGTGCCGGCGCGGCGGTGAGGCGGTCTAGTGTGGTCTGGGAAGCGGGGTGCTGTTCTGCCTCGCGGTCGGTGGAGTGGTGAGCGTCGGGGTCGATCGAGTGGAACGAGGTGGTGCCCTGCATGCTGCGCGCGATGCGGTCGATTTCATTGTCGATCATCTGAACGGTAGCGTGCGGGTAGATGCGCTGCAGCACGCGACGAGCACGGATGATCCGCCCACGCGCCACGAGCCAGCGCGGAGACTCGTCCAGATAAATCATCCCCACCAGCTGCAGCACCGCAGGCACGCCTCCGGCCAGCACCATCCACCGCCACCCGTGAGGCAGGTGGTAGAAGGCAGCATCGACCAAGTACGCTACCACCTGTCCGCCTGTAATGAGCAAGCTGTTGATCCCCACCACGCGCCCACGCACCTTGGTGGGCGCCACTTCGGCCAGATACGTCGGCACCACCATGCTCGCCATCCCCACCCCGAGGCCGACGAGCACTCTGCCCAGCACGAGTTCCCGCACCACCTGTGACGCCGCCTGCTCCATCGCCCCGAGGAGGAAAAGGATCCCGCTTCCGATCATGACTTTTTTGCGCCCGAGCCAATCGGCCATCCTGCCGGCAACGATGGAGCCGAGGATCGCACCGACCGTGGTGGCGCTTACGATGAGCTCCTGCTCGCCTTCGCTGAGCTCGTGGCCCAGATCAGCGTGGATCGCGACGAGCATGCCGCTCGCTACGCCTGTGTCGTAGCCGAACTGTAGACCGGCCAGGCAGGCTATGCCCGTGAGCCGTGCAAGGTAGCTAGCCGAACTGAGTTCCGAGTCGTCCAAGGGGTTGGGCGGGTCGTCTGCGTCGTGGTCTTCGTCATTGTCGTTGGCTTGGGATGCGCGTAGTGGGTTGAAGCGATCCAAGTCGCTGAGCTGGTCGAGCTTGCCGGCTCTCGTACCGCCGTTCGTGGCAGCGCTCGCACTGGCGTCCACAGCAGCACTCGCCGGGTCGCTCATGTTGGTCGCCGCTGCTCCCCTTTGCGTGGACGCTCTCTCCTCGCCTCGTTCACTCGATGCAGCTGCGATCCTCCTGTCGACCTCGTCTGCAGGCGTGGAAAAGGTATCCAGCTCCAAGTCCGAGTCCGAAGAGGTCGGCGAAGAGATGCGGAACGAGGGCAGCGACGAGGGGCCCGCCCGTCGCTTGGCTGTCGACGTTGATGCTGGAATCGTGGATGTCGCTCGCCTCTTTCCGCGTCGATATCTCTGGGAAGATAGCTCCGTGTGCTTTGACAGAGACGTCTGTCGAGAGTCGTGGTGGCCGTGACGAACGAAAGGGATGGTCAGCTTGAAGCTGGACCCTGCTTGGATTTTTCGCAGCACGCAGCACGCAGCACGCAGCCTCCACACACCGCACGTCCCTTGACCACGCGAGCAGCCACCGCCCAGCCCAAAATGAATTTCCGTCTTTTTCCACACCCAAAACCATCGCGGCAGCAAACGGGAACAAATCTTCACCCGACCATATCGCCGCCTTTCTCTTAATCAACCACGTCCCAAATTTCACTAGCGTGTTCTACACGTCGTTGCGAACGCGCTGGATGTAAAAAAAGTGCGAAAAAAACGACTTCCGCCAAAATAGTGAGGCGACGGCGGGACTCGAACCCGCAGCCTTAGAGTTGTTTCGCAAGTCCAAGTCTCGCTCTTCGCCCTCGAACCTGGAGATTTTAGAAGCTCTATGCGCTAGCCATTGCGCCACGACGCCGAAGGTTGTCTGAAGGCGAGACTTTTGCGTACAGTAAGCATTGCAATGATGTGGAAATTTTCGATGGGTTTTGGGGTGATTTGGTGTCTTGGACCGCTCATCTTGGGCTTCATTTTGAGCATTGCTGCAGAGTGCGAGTGTGTACATTTGCATATAGAGACAACGAGTGCACTCTGGAAGGAAAGGCGTGGGCATTGTGGGATCAGAGGGAGGCGAGCGTCTATCCACGGCCAAACCATCCGCCCAGCCAGCCCTTCTTGCTGGCCGCCGCGTTGGCCTCGGCCTGCGCCTCCTCCTCCTCGGCCAGCGCGTTGCCGGGATCGTAGGCCAGCGAGAAGTCGCCCTCGTCTTCGTCGTCTTCGTCGTCGTGGTCTTCAAAGTGCTCCGCTTCGTCCGCGTCGTCCTGCACGGGAACTGGCGTCTTCGTGGCGGCCTGAGCGGCGGGTTGAGCAGCCGCCGCGGGGGGCTTGGCCTTAGCAGGTGCTTTGGCAGCCTGCTGCTCGTGCTCGTACTCGGCGCGTACATCGTCGGGCACGCGCCGGGCGTCCTGCAGCGAAACAGGGTCGAAGTCGATGTACTTGCGAGCGAGCTCCTGCAGCGCCTGGCCGGCACGCGAGTCCGACATGGCCGAACCGGGCTTAGCCTTCGCCTTGCCAGCTCCGCGCTGCTGCTGTTGCTGCTGCGCCCTGAGCAGCGACTTCTGCACGCCGCGCTTGAGGCGCGCCAGAACGTCGTCCGAGTGGTCAAACACTTCGGATCCACTGCTCGACTTGAGACGCGGCGGGAAGTCGGCGTCCTCCTCGTCGACGTCCTCGGCCAGGTCGGCGGCCTGGCGTGCCTGGCGGATGTACAGCTGCGCCCGCGTCAGCAGCAGCACCGCCTTGGCGTGCGCGCCGGACAGCGAAAAGGCACGCGCGAGGTGGCGCAGGATCTCGCTGCGGAACCACGCCGCCTTGGCCTCGACGAGGCTCGACACGTCGGGCTCCGACTCGATCAGGCCGATCGAGCCCATGGCGACCAGGCTCGTCTCGGCCGCATC